CGGGGGGGGGGGTAGAGAGTCATCTCTTTGCAAGATCTACATAGAAAATCCAACCACCATCCCCAGTAGTCAATATAGAAGTGGGGGGAACGTTGACTTATGGATTAGGTGGTGTTTTGGGTTTAAGATTCACATGGAGAAGGACCACTGCTTAGACATCTCCCAGTTCCTCTACTAGCTATCTAGATGAGATGGATTTTAAAGAAGAGCTGAGCATCTTCTGATTCCTGGCTGGGCTGTTGTACTGGAGCAGCCTTAGGGGCGAATGTCCAAAGATGCCTGTGCTGCACTGCCAATGACACAGATGCTGCACTTGCTGCTGGCATGCACGGTATTAAAAAGCACAGGGTGGTAATCCTTTGACCTGAGGAGGCCTGAATTATTGCTAAGCCATGGTTAGATATTGATGCTTTAGAAGGAGATCAAGGTACTAAACTTATCTCTGAACCCCCATCTTCATTTTGAACCCACCTCTAATCCTGGAATGGTTGGAATGAAGCCATAAAAGTGATAAAGCTCCTTTGACCATGCACCGTGTACTTTCCCAACATCCTTTACTGCAGTTTTAGGTCCTACTATCTTCCTTCAGAGAATGTAAGGCTACATACTTTGTTCTTACACCCAAATCTTGGCTCTTAGCCTCTTTTCTCCTTTTATTTTTAAAATGTACATCCTCCCTTTTGGCCAAAATGGGTGTAAACAAAGGGGTACCCAATGCATGAACTCCAAAGGCTCCCATTTATCAGGAGCAGGCCCTTTTCCCACTCCTTATTCAAACATGCAATGCCATGCACACTTTCTCTTCTCTGGGTTTTAAGAACCTGCCTTTGTCATTTTTCTAAGTGCAAATTGTTGGTAATTGTGGAGTGTTCAGTTCGAGCTCCAGGGTTTTAGAAATAATCCATTCCTTCAGAAAGTGCCTTAGATTAGGATGGAAGTCTTTTTCTTCATAATAGACAGGTGCCTATTTAATTGGAGCTTTTCAAATAAAAGTCGTAAGTATCATAATATGTGATTCAGCTCAGACCTCTGGGCAGAACAGGACTGTATTTTGTTTTAGAGCAAAAGCATCACATTTCAAGAATTTCAGTATTAAGGTACTATGCAGTCATGTATACCTGATGATTTTTCAATCATCACTATTAATGTGGTGTGTGTATCTGTGTGTGTGTGTGGAAAGGGGAAGCTTTGGGGAATGTTTTAGCTAGTTGCCCTCCTTGGTATGAAACCAACACTGCTGCAAAATATGCCTTTTCTTCAGCTGCACACTATTAGGGGGTAATACTAATGTAATCAAGATCAGGAAAACACAGCTAAAACGATATAAAATAAAAAAATGCGATCTTTCCTGTTCTACGGATAGCTTTAATCTGCCTATTGATGCAGCAAAGACCTCCATCCACATGTAGAAGTTCTGGCTAGACTCCAAAGCCTTTAAAGACTCTGTCCCTAATGAGAGGGTTTTGCAACTCTCCACCTTGCAAATAAAAGGAAAAAAAAATAGAAGCATTTATTTGGCTAGAAAAGCTCTTGAACCAGCACTACAGTTCCCCTGCCACAACGCAACCCAGGACAGAAGCAGATCTGCTTTAACTTTCAGTATCAGTTTGGAGAGCACTGCGAAGCGCCATTCCCCTCTCCAACGTGGACTTATCAAAACTGCAGATCCTTGTCATTCAAACACCCGGATGCTTCCCACCATGGGCTTGGAGCTTCACAAGAATAGGCTGAAATTGCAGTGTCTGGCATATGTCCGAGGACCCTCAGAAACACTGACGGGAAAAGGGGCAAAATAAAAGCCAACAGTACAACTGCACAGTTGGTGAAAGGCCATGTGTGCTTTTGACACACCCAGAATGCCCTCCAGAAGTTGGGGGACTTTCCAGGGCAGAGAGGAGCAAATCTGTGACCCTCTGGATGTGACTGAATTGCAACTTTCACCAGCCTCAGTCAGTGGGGCCATTAGGAACGTCTAACCAGCTCAACCCCCATCTTACTAAATGAATTATGCTCTTTGACAGCCTGCAACAATCACACTTCGTTTCAACCATTCTCTGAGTTCCTGGTTGCCCAATTTCAGAATCGTCTTTAGATTAAGGATTTCAGTTTCTATGATTCAAGTGACACTGTCCTTGATTTTGACCAGAGAATGCAGAGTATTGTCCTCTAATGAGGGATGGGCAAGTGCGACCACAGAACCTCTTCTAGCTATAATTGCTAATGACTGATAGCACTGTTCCCCACCATTCTGCAGCAGAGAACATCCAAAAACCATACAGCACACTTAAAAAAAATAGTAAGACTCCCCCTCCCCTCCCAAAATTGGAAAAAGAGACCTCCTGGCTAATATACAGGATATGGCCTCAGTTTTCCCCTTGCCCACCTACCCTCCCTCCCTTTTTTTGTATCAGTAATCTTTCCAAAAATATTAAGTGCTACCCTTGGCCACCAAAGTGATGTCCACCTCTGTGAAATGGTGATTGCCTCAGACCAGCTTTCCTCAACTTGGTGCCCTCCAGAACCAGGCGATGTACTCAGATCTACACGCCAACTAGTGGGAAGCATTGGATGAAGGAAAACTACACTGATTCTCAATTTGAAGTCCAGATTCCAGGACTGCTCTTCTGTTATTCCCAATTTCAACACCCAGAAAAATCTATTACCCAGAAGTGGTGGTGAGGCTCCCAACCGCCTTACTTTGTTTTCCAAGTCTCTCTTCATATGAGAGACTCACAAAGAGGCCCTTTTAATCATGCCCACCAGTCCTATCCCAAAGCATGCATCTTGGGACGTCCCCAATATAATTGGAGTTACTTACTGGGCAAAAATCCTGTCTTCTCAGCTCTTTGCTTCAGCTGCTATCATCTCTCCTGGGGAAGTTAGGAATATCTGATTTGGCACGTAGAACATATGAACTCCTTGTATGACTTAGACCTACTGGTCCCTTTACAAGCAAACCTCCCAGTTGTGCCACACCCCATGCATACCTGGGCAGCTAGTAGCAGCTTAGTTGCTGAGGTGAATTACTTTGCACTCTCTCTGGCACATAAACTACTTGAAATGAAACTCAAGCTGCAGGAAGGGGAGAGTCTCTTCCAAATTACAAAATTCCTACACAAATTAGCACACCGCTTGCAAGCAGAGAGTCACCTGCAGACCTTTCAGGCATAGATTCTGTCACACATAAATATGTGTGCATGCCTGCATACTGGAAAGATGTGGCTCTATTCCCAGTCATGGTATGTGGTGGATCTTCTACACACCACATGGAGTATTTTGTGAAATGTGAAGCTGTCACTTCGAATCCAGAGTCCCCTTCTTATTAAATCATGGGATGCCTAATGGATTGGTGCAGATGAAGGACAAAAGAACAGATCTTTTAGGTTCTCCCTTTGCAGTAAAGATAGATTGGTGTACCCAGCAGACATAACTTAGCTTCCCTCACTTAGACCATGCAGGAAGCAGTCCTTCTTTAGAACTGTTTTCTTCTGCTCATGCTGCCCTTGAAATGTCTCATTAATCTGAATAGTCTCCCGTCCTTGTTTCTGCAAAAGGTAAAGTTCTTTTATGGCATCCTTAAATATAATACAAAGGGTATTTGAAAAAAACACCTATAGTGTCAATGAGACTTTAATGAGCTTTCTGCCTTCTTTTATAACATACAACAGACACCGGTTGCGGAGAAGCAAGTTGTTATGGGAAATGGCAAGGCCACCTTTGAGTCTCATGGTCACAGGGTTATAAGGACATATTGATATCCAAGGCCATTGTCTGGGGATGGAGAGAGGGAGGAAGTACCTGCAGAAGTAGCCATCAGTTCCTTTGGTATGGATCAGGAAAAAACACCTGATAGCCAATTATCCCTAGGCCAAGGGGCGACTTGAGGATACGAGATCCAACCAATCTGCTGAGGCTAAGTGGATGAGTAGCGGCGTGCTTGGAACTGAGACTCCAATATACACTGCCTAGGGCTCCGTTGTGGATATGCAGAACGGTCATCACGCTACATAAAATGATCAGCAGAGTTGCAGCATTCAGCTGCAGAAGGACTGCTAATTTCCATCTTGTTATGAGATCACCCATCCAGCAGATCAGCTCAGGGGTGTGTCCACCCATTCAGTTTTGGGTGTGTCTGCAACCAGAGATGATTTTTTTGTAAAGTAATAAAAGAAGAGGCATAGTTCCCATTCTGTTTAGTCGTAATGCAGCCATTTCCAGATTCATCTAGTCTAGATGCCAAGGCCAGAGAAGCAGGTCAGACTTGCTTATCCATCCAGATCTCTATTACCCACTCTCTTGGGAGATGGCTCTTCATATAACCTCTTGGCACCCTTCTAACCATGGAGAGGCAGGGATTACATCTGGAGCTTTCAGCATGCAAATCGAGGTCTCTGCTAACAGCAGACTTTCTCGACAGTGCTTTCTTGAGCAAAGTGATACGGCTGCAGTATTTTTAAGGGAGCTTTCAGTTGAAGGATGGGTGATGCAACAGATCTCCCTCACAGACAGAGCCCTTAGTGAAACTGAAAGAGAATAAACCTTCCTTATAACCCACAGCATTGTTAAATTTCTTCTGCAGCTCAAATGCCTACATGTTTCTGTATCCACATTGTTAGCACAGGAGACATCTATATTAACTATTAAATCATCTTCAGATTTAATTAATTAACCAATAGTTTCTAAAACATGTAGTTTCTATTAAGTTGCTCCATATAACATTAACTAAGAGCACACTTCCTCCATCATGCAAGTAGGCTATTGGCAGTGATTTTGAAAAAACCAAGAGGAATCTCAGGGAGCAAAATTTGCTGCCAGTTTTTCTTCTAAAATGGGTGCACAATCTGTGGCCCCCAGAACCACTTAAAATTACTGTTCAACTGTAATATTTATTTAGAGAATATAAAAATTATTATATAAATGGAGTAATTTTCATGAAAATACTGAATCTTTAATTAATTCCCCCCCCCCTTTTAGGGTCTATATACGACCCTTGGCCAATAGCACAATATCATAAACCCCCCAGAGAGCTTTGGCTGTTGTGCAGTTTAATTTTTTTAATAAATAGAAATACACTTTAAAAATCCGTTCCGAAACCAAATTTGTCTTTTAAGTGATAGCTGCCACATTACAGCTTAAAGGGTATCCCTTGCCCCTAAACCTTCCAGGGGCCCATGTATACCCCTATAAAGAAAAATCAAAAGCCAAGTCTGTTGGCTTTGGGGAAATGGAAATAGGAGGAGGCCACCTTTGTCATGCCCAGAGGGATGTCAAGCTGTGATTAGTCATTCCTGCCCAAAGGTCACACCTAGCTATGACATCTTTGCCATTCCTGAAATATGTCCAGAGAAGGACGTGAACAAGGAAGGGTGGGGCAAAAACCAACCTCTAATTTTAGACCAAAGACAATCTTAAGATGCCACTGAGTCATCTCTAAATCAACTTCCAATCATAGGAACTACCTTTGGCTTGTCCTGAGGGTGCAAGGACAAGGGCTGTGCTATATTAAGCCAGAAGGCTTAACACAGCAAGCAAATTATGGAAGCTTCCTCTGAGTCTGGTGTGGTAGGTCAAAGCCATGGAGTCTTCAGACTCCTGAGGAGGAGAATGTGGGATGGATTTATAGTACTGTACACCAATGACAGTCTGAGTTGAACAAGTATAAAAATTTAAACAAACAACTCTGGGAAGGCTCCCAAAACCCTTGAATGGAAGGATCTCATCATTAGGAATAACTATGAACACTGCTGACTAGCACATCCAAGGAATAATCTTCTCCAGCTGTTGCTCCACAGCAACCGCACTGAAAATGTCTCTGAATATGGAGGGTCTGTATAACTACTAATAGACTTGTCCTCCAGGGCTTCATCTAACTCAATTTTAAACCTTTGACCTTTTCTGGAATTGAAATGCAACACACCTGGAGAGCACGTGGTTGGGGAAGGACAACCTACACACTCTCCCATATCAATACTTTCAGACAGTAGTATGTAACTGATGGAGAAATGATCGTATTCAAATACCAATTTTTAATTTTTTTTTAATTATATTCAAACACGGTAATTTCAATTCCCTGTTCTTTAAAACAATGGCAGCTGAGCTGCTGAATAAACAAGTACAATATAGAGACTTCTTTGGAAAAAAAATACTCATGCGATATTGCACATTTAAGTTTTTCTGCATTTTTCTTCTGGTTTTTGTTGGTAATGCAGCCATATAGAAAATACTTCTGTTATGTACAGATATTTTTGGAGGGGGTGGGGGAGTCCCTGGACCAGGACAGATGGAGGGAAGAAAAGTGGGGAGTTGGAAGAGGAGGATATGGCAGAAAAGGAAGGGATTATTTATTTTGGCAGAGGAATCTTGGCTCATGATAGCGCAGGAAAAACACACACACACACAAACAGGATTTTCAGGGTAGTACTTTGGACCCGTTTTCTCTTGGAATTACTTCTAGCCCTCAGTTTCACTTGAAAGTACTTCTAGCCCTCAGTTATAACATTGAAAGTATTGGATTGCATGCGTGCAGGAAGCGAAATATGGGACAGCCACTAAGCTGGAACCCCAGATTTCTTCTGGGAGACAAATGGTGCCCAGGGAGCTAGAAAATGAAAGGTCAAGGAGGTACAGCTCCTGGAGAAGCAGGAGTGAAGGCTGGCAATTCATGTAACCATGTCAAGTGTGGGCTTTGGCTATGGCCTCTCTTATTGGCTTCGAACCTCGCGGTGATAGTGCCAGCATCATCACCAGGCTGAGTGTTGGCAGAAGGCTATTGTCCAAATGGCAGAAGGAAGAAAGAGGCAGGTTTCCTTTGCCCTGAGTTAGGCAAGAAAGCCCAGGTACAACTCTGAAAAGTCTGCCTAACTTTATGGACATTCAAAAACCAGAGAGGGGACAACACAATCCTTGCACCTGAGTATTAGGATGCAAAGAGAAAGGAGCAGAACCTCCACAGCATGACTGCAGCAAGAGTTCTGAAGCTGCCTCTCCCGCCCCACCATTGACAATTCATTCTCATCCTCACAGCTAATCAGGCGCTACTCTCAAGTCTCCTCTGATGAACGGCCAAGGGACCTCTCAAAGCTTTGCCAAGGCTGCTGTGGGCCCCAGTTTTAATCTGACTGCTCACTTTTTTTAGCTTCTAGGCCAGCAGCTCACAAAGACCAGATGCCACCCTCCACCCTATCAATTAATGCCTGCCAGCCTCTTGCAGGTCACGCTAGTCGGGATGGTGATGATGGAACAATGCTGAGACCCACATCCAGAAATATTTCTCCCACCCAGTGGCATGGCCAGTACTCAATAACCCTGCTCTTGGGCTGCCAGGTTTAACCGTAAGGGACATACTAATGACCTGGCTGTCAATAAGGCCTGTTTCCCCACAGCAACAGTGGTGGCCACCCCACTCCTGTGGGTCCCCAGAAAGACTGGTTCCTATCATCCCTACGCCCCTTGTTCCCTGGAGGAAAAGCAACAAAGCAAAGAGCATCACTGAAGGAAGCCACAAAATAAATACTGTCTCTGGGAAGGGGAAGGGGCGGGAGAGGAGAGGAGAAGAGAGGAGAAGCAGGCCTCAAGACAAACGTGGCCTTCTGGAGAAAACAATAGTTGGTGATGCCTATTTGGCTGAGCCTCAGAACAGTCCGCATTTGGAGTGTCTGGGTGGTGAGAGGAAGGTGACCACCCCTATCCTCGTGTATTTCTCCTGTCCCTGCTCAGGATCTCGGTACACATGGTGGTGGGGTGTGGAGGAAGGTCCCTGCTTCACAGAGAAACCAGGGGACAGTGACAGCAGCTGGTGGTCACTTGGAGAGCTTGCTGATCACACGAATAAGAGCGGCGTTTTCGTCTTTAAGACGCTGGTTGTCGGCCTTCAAATCTGAAAGAGCCTGAGAGGGGAAAGGCAGATACAAAGTAAAACTCCAAGGCACCCATTTCGGTTATTGCACATCTGTTTCCTCCCTGCCACCTCCTCCTTCCTTGTTCCCAGTCAGGCTACCGCTGAAGCCTGCAGAACAAGACCAGTGGCTCATTCAACAGGAGAGGAATCACCTTCAATTCTTCCTCCAGCTCTGCAGCTTTCCTCTCCAAAGCTCGCCGCTCCTAGTTTGGGACAGGTGGGACAAAGAGATTACACGCAGAAAAGGAGTCCTCAGCATGCATTTATGCTGAGTGGAGAAAAATCAACCTCTATGGAATAAAGCTGGGTAACTTTAGTATTGTGCGGTCTAGAATTCCTACAGAACATATATACCAGTCAAATTTTTGTAACATGAGATAGCCAAGAACTCTTCCTAGGGGAGGTGCAAATAATCTGGGTTAAGAGTGTACACTCTGCCTTGAAACCCCAGCCTCTCGCTAGGTGCAAAAATCAACCACTGCCCTCTCCTCATCACAACAGCTGGCTCACTGCCAGGCTTTTCCCAAAGGTGTCATCAACCTGTCTTACAGGTCAGTTTTTGCAATGCAGGAAAGGGGAAGGAACAGGGAGGAAGGAACAAATACTTACAAATCTCTCTAGCTCTAGGAGAGCCGGCCGTTCTGCAAAACGCTCCTGCCTCTGTGCATGGGCAGACAACATAAAAAAGGCTCAGAATAGTTTCTGTGTTTACCTTTTAAAAACCCTCCCCCTAGCAGATCTGAAGACAGGATATGACTGATAAAATAATAACAAACCATATAACACAGCAATGCACAACCTAGAGAAGACAGTGACCCCCAAGCTAAGGGAGAGGAATGGTTATACTGAGGATCATACTCTACAAGCAACTTCATACATGAAAAGGCCAGATCAATGTTGCCTGGACAGGAAGTGGGGCTAGGCACGCATTTCTAGCAAAGCATTTTACATCTATCATTTCAGTCACTTTCTTCAGATGCCCCAAAGGTGAGCCAGAATTGCAAATACTGGAGAAACAGCAGCCAACCTGAGACCACTCAGCACAGTGGGGTTTTTTTTTTAACCATTCCAGGGTAGTTGCAAAGATGAAAATTTAAAGCAAGGTGTGCAGCCAGCTAATAGCTTGTACACTAAGGCTATATATTTTATTTATTTCTGTTACCTTTATAGCCCACCATTCATTCTGGAAGTCAAGGAGGCATATAAGGTGCTCCCTCCTCTCATTTTTCCCCATAACAACAGCCCTGAGAGGTACTTTGGCTGAGAGAGAGTGACCGGCCCAGATACCTTGTGAACTTCTGTTGCACAGGGTGGACCTGATATCCTTACTCCTGGTCCTACACCTTAAGCACAACACCCCGCATCCTACATCCCAAGAACTCGGTTTAGGCTGTGGCTCTACATTCTCTCCAGTCTTCTCCAGAGTTGCCAGCTGCTGCTGCCAGCCACAATGTGCCTCTTCAGCTGCTCCCCGCTCGCTCTCCCATGAGGAGCCTGCCCTGCCCCGTACCTGGGTCACTCTTTCCAGCTCCAACTTGATCTGCGTCAGCTGGAGCTGTGCCTCCTGCAACTGTTCCTTCAGCTTTTCGTTCTCAATCAGGAGATCTTCATACAGCTTAGAGACACACACGGGAGGAAAGAAAAAAGATTGAAAAAGAAAGGAGGCCCTTAGACAGCTAAACAAGCGCAAGATACAGTAGCATTCATTCGCAACCGCTTTTCCTCTGCCCAGAGAATGCAACCACCCCATCTCCAAGCACTAACTTTCTTGTAATAGTTATCCGGTTCTTCTCGGCAGCCCGACAATACGCTGCTCCCTCTCTGGCAGCTAGAAGGTGCTGTCCGGTTTGGCAGAAGGCTGTTTAAGTGATCACTGAAAAGAAAAAGCAGGGCGGTGTTGGGAGAATTGCCCCCTGCTGCCTCCTCTGCATGCTGCAATTCAGGTAGGCATAATATAACTTGGAACAGAAGACTGAACAGGAAGGCGTAAAGGCTGGTGGTGCTTTAACAGAACCACAACAACCTATGCCCATTTTTGTGGGTTAAGGTAGAAACGGGTGACCTTTCTTCTAGCCTGGGAGGCTGCTGAGATTGTACCCACTGGCGAACATGACATCACTGGGATGAAACTCAGGCTTAAAGAGGGAACAAAGTGGAGGCAGCGTGGGGGGGGGCGGATTCAAGAGTGACATGAGTGCTTTTAATCGCCCTTTCTTTAAACACACCCAGAAACACAACATGGATGAAGCATTTCAGCCTCTGAGGGAGGCTTCAGCAGCTATGCACGGCCCGTGGCTGCCCTTGTGTGATCACGGTTTGTTGCTCTGTTTGTTTTAAGACCCTGTGGGGGAATCTACCTGCTATGTACAGATGGGTCTTCATTGTGGACTTGCTCAGTGTCTTCATCTTCCTCCCCCTAGAAAAAGAAGAAATTGTGGTTCACAGGCTCCCAAGATGATCTACACCAGCGTTTCTCACCTTGGCAGCTTGAAGATGTGTGGGCTTCAACTCCCAGAATGGCTGGGGAATTCTGGGACTTGAAGTCCACACGTCTTCAAATTGCCAAGGTTGAGAAACACTGATCTACACAGTCGTGGGTGCGTATAAAAGGCATCCACCATCTTCACTGTAACCTCCCATCTATATCCTGAACTCCGCCCTTCCTCCAGCGCATCAGCCCACTGTTCTGGTATCTTTCCTGTTCACCTCTGAGTTTCCTCCCAGGCCGGTGATGCGCCTCTCCCGCCGGCCTTTCCTGCGGTCTCGGATAGCCAGTCTGTTTCGAAGGTCTGTATCCAGCTCGGAGCCAGCCTTCTCGACTTCTGGGCCTGCAGTTTAAAACAAGACACGCAGCTGAGTTTGGGTTGTCGACATCAACAGTTCTGAGCGAGGAGATGAAAGCTTTAAGATTTCCTTGAGACGGCACTGTGCAAACACAGGGAGAGAATGAAATGAGTCAGGATCGAAGGAGACGAAGGAGCCGGCGGCAGTACAAGAGCTAATGCCAGTCCACAGTGAAACATGTCAAGCAGGCAAACTGAAAACGAAGGAGAAAAGAAAGAAGAAGATATTCACCTGGATACAGGGGTTACCTTTTTGGAGCTGCGAATTCACCACTAACGGATTCACAGTATAAACTGAAGAACTGTCTGAACTGGGGAGCCGGAATCGCCTAGAAGAGTCCTGAATGAGGTGTTGGAGAATGAAGTTAGGGAGAATAAGAAGGAAGACCAGTTACAAACATGCTTTGCCCTGGTTCAAAACAACAGGGCCGCATTTTGTAGACTAAAGCTTGGAATGACTGAAAAGGGTTGTGTGAGGAGTGCCACTACTCCACAGGACGTGCCAAAATGCATCAGATTCTCAACGCAATCCAGTGCTAACAGGTGCACGCAAGGAAAGCCACACTTGGCAAATGACAGGAGTCACCTCCCGCTCCATCCCATCACAAAGGTTAGTATCCTGCTCAGCCTGGCAACAGGTACTTCCCTCTTCTTTTCAGAGGCCCTGTGAAAGGATCTGGACCCTGAGCAGCAGCCTATATTCACAGTTCTGTCTTAGAACAGGCCCAGTCTTTCCACTGATCCATTTATCATTAGATCAGGTTCTGACTGCCCAGGACTTCTTACAATGCTGGAGGGGCTGAACTGCAACTCATCCACCTCAGCAGATCCCTACCGTAGTCTCCTGAGATTGCTGCTCCCCATCTTTGTCCCGCTTTTCATCCTCCTTGTTCCTTTGCTCTGAAGCAGTTTTGGAATCACTGGCCCAGACCATGGTCTTCTCGGCCTCCTTTAGATCTGTCAGGGTTACTCCCTAAAAAGGGCGTGGGGACGCAAAGGGGATGGGTATGAGGGACAGAGAGAAAAGGTAAATGGAAAGTATATTCATCAGAAAAATATCCTGCCGTTCAGAAGATGCTGATGGGACTGTGGCCAATGGACAGCAGAACTCTTTGTAAGTCACCAAATTAGGCCAAGAAAGCAGCGCCTGAACTTCCCACTGCTGCCAGACCCATCCCAACCTGGGTGGCATCACCTTCAAGCTTGAGCCAGATTCTTCTGCACCAACCCTTACCTGTGTGGAACGCCTGGACTGTCTCATGAGCCTAGAGCGGGCCTTTCTTTGGGATTCAGACTCTTCGTCTCGCACTGGTGTCTGGTACGACCTAGCAGAAGAAACTGGTGGTCAGGCAGCATATAAAGGCTTCTCCTCACACTTTCTGTTGCTTCTAGGGACCCCTGTCAGTTCCTGCCAAGCATCGTAGAGCTGCTGCATTGGCTGGACATCGTGATAGTGAAAGGAAACCTTATGTACATTTTGTAAGTGTTAGGTACCTTCTTTTGTTTTTTGCTTGGCTTCTTCCACTTTTCCTGGCCACATACAATACCTTTCGTTTTGCCAGGCCAAAGAGGTGGAATAAAATGTAAGATGCGGAGGGGGAAAGGCAGCTGCAGTGCCCTTTTCATCTTGTCAAACCCAACAGGACAGAGAAAGGTATCAAGATGGGGCTAGACAGCATCCTGTGAATGGAGTATTTAGTGCATCACAGAAGATCCTTCCTTCTCCTGGCAGACCCGACCGACAGGCAAGAGCAAACAGACATTGGGAATAAGTGTCTGGCCAAACACTGTCCCTGTGACACCATAAAGTGGATGCCTGTGTACCAGTGGTGAAAGTTAATAAAAATCCAAGCAACTCACAGAAATGTAAGGCACAGAAGATCAGGATAATAACTGCATCAACAGAGACCAGTCCGTTTGACCTTCAGGGTCACCCCTCTACCAAGGCCCTAAGTGCTTTCCATACTGCCTGCCCCTGGCCCAGCCAACCCTCACCTTCGGCGGTCCCGGGGATCCATGCTAGAGCTGATGGCAGTGGAAGAAGGGGGCTGGTGTGGGGCAGGGGCTGTATCTATCTTCATCTGAAGGCCACCTTCTAAGTTTCTGCGGGGAGTGAGCAAGAAGACAGAAAGAGAAAGAGAGAGAGAGAGAGAGAGAGAGAGAGAGAGAGAGAGAGAGAGAGAGAGAGAGAGCACGCGCAAGAGAATATTTAGAGGGGCCTCCTGACTTCTGTGAGATTTCACGACACCAACCCATTGCTCCCCAAAATTCAGGCTTTTTCATCTAGTAATCACCTGGAGGCTCTTGCCTGCATGAATTTCCATCCAACATTCCCCCCCTTTCCCTCCAAAATCTTGCCACTTCAGCAAAATATCTAACAAACTTTCTGGCACCTATCCCTTTTCTTTTACAAAGGTAGGACAGTACTGCTAGTTTTTAAACAGAAAACAGTAAAAAGCAAACTGACATAGCACCTTACTTAAAGCCACTGAGGGTGCTCATAAGAGACTGAATAAATTAACTGATATTGTGAAGCTCACTGGATAACCCAACAACTTCACTTTCCCAAATATTTCTATCTTCCAGTGATACCCATCTCTACCCTAAAACTAGTGTAGTTTCAACCTATCCTATCTCCTAACAAAGGGCCCTCCCAATCCAGGAACAAACCTGACAGAGGTTCCTTAACTCCAAACTCTCACTAGCCAGAGCCAATATGGCCAATGGCTGGGAATGGCTGGAATAGAAACCCAACATCTGGAGGATCAAAGATCTCCTATCCCATTTTAATTTACTGGGTATCCCTACTCAAGAACACCAAGAGAGGCACCCTCATTTGAGGATGAGAAGGAGGGGAACATCCACCCTGCCAACTGTCCCGTCTCAACTAACCAGCTTTGTGTCTGAACAATATTCAAATCTAGGTCTCTCAAGTCAAATTTATTTATTTATTTATTTATTTATTTATTTATTTATTTA